TAAAAATAGTAAAAGAAATGTAGTATGATCTTCGGTAAAGATAACAATGGAACTGAAGGAAACAGAGTGTAAAAACAAAACGCCATAAGCGATCAAACTTACCTCCAACTGGCCAACAATTTCTTCACGTTGCATTTTCAATAATTCATTTCGTCAGTATTCAGCGAAATCAAGGGAAAAGTGTGATGAATATTCAGAATAAAACACCATGAAAGACAAAGGCCGCGTCAATAAATAAGAACGCGACCACATTTTGCATATATTATATAGAAGTGGTTTATTGATGGCTTCGCCTGCTCGTCCTGTTTAGGAAGGAAGATAGTACATCTGTAAGCTGCTAAGTCAGCACGTTAACTTGGCAAAGCGTCTTTCATCTATTCTTCTCGATGCAGTCGCCGGCAATACGAAATGTCGGATTTCGGACAGAAGGGCGGGCAGGCCAGTCTCCTTTCAAGGTCAGATCAGAATTATGTCTGGTCAAATGCATCACTGGTAGAACAGACCAGCATTCAGATATACGCCATTTCCGATTTGTAGCCACTTGACCGCCAAAAGCCTCGGCCATCCCTTCACTTCCATGTTACCTTTCAGTCAAAGCGGATGCTGCTACAAAGCCTGAACAAAACAAACTATCTAGTGGTTGATCAAAGACAAACACTTGATATCAAGATAAAATCACTTCCTCCCCTTCTCTGTGTCTGTCTATAGTATCACAAAAGTGGAAAATTGAAAAGATATGTCATGTATCTTTCCAAATGAGCATGTAAATTAAAAGACGGAAGGAGGAAGAATGCTAAATCTAATGTAAAATCGTTCTTGGCATTGAGGAAATCAGAAAAGGGGCAGGCTTAGATGATAATGGAATATAGATACTGCCAGATGATTTAGAGATCCAGAATATGACAACGGTGAAAAGCTGGAAGCTTTCCGGAGGTCTATCTTCATTTATAAAAAAAGAAACCTGGTGTGAATGAATTTGAACTCATTTGGAGAATCAGCTTACTTAGTCACTAAATAATTTTTTGTAATGCATACATCTCGTAACAGAATAAGACGAAAAACAACAAAAGTAAATATTGCTTTGTTCAATACACTGGAACAAGAAATGCTATCTTCAGAATTATATCGGTCGAACATTAAAATGCTTAAGGATTGATACATATGTTTTGTAGATTTCTTAAAACTATCTGAATTATGACACAATCCTCTATTTGAAATATTAGAAAAGTTTGATGTGCATCTTCAACAGGTGCGAGTAATCGGTAATCTATTAAAAATGCATGCGTACAGACAAACAGAAGAATGATTTGGAGTGTTGAAATTACTGCATGTATGATTTTACAACTCGAGTTTCACAATTTCATATTTAGCTTATCTACATTTCAGTCTAGCCTCGTATTAACCATAAACAGGCAGATTGCATCGTTCTCAGGAAAAGAGGCACTTTAATATGAGCGCTACAAATTGGAGAAGTCAATATAAATAACGTATAATGAAATAACAAACAATGTGACTGTCTGCCTGAATTCATTGAATGAGGCGTTATAGTTAATTACACTATTTATCAGAAAATATGATCCGAAGTTCTTTAGAACAGTGAATGAATCCTTCCAGAAAATTAATAAAATATTACGTGACTTTATTTAGAAACCGAAATATTTATTGGTTTGTATGTAAACATCTAATTTGCTATTATATCAGAGAATGCTGGACAAATTACTTATCGACGAACAATAAACTAGGTGTCGTTCTATTGATGAAGGCTATGAATACGATCGTACGAGCATATAGTTTTAAGGAAAAGAGTATCAACACAGAAAATATACTTACATTCAGAGAACAAGCTGTTTGAAAAATTGTAGGACATATATTCAGGAAATTGTATCTGGAGAATATAAGATTTCATCATCATCGTCATTTTCCGTTATCAATGTGTTTGTTTGGAACTCCAATAACAATCACTTTTCACACTGTTCTGTCTGTTATACATTTTGACGGTCGTCCTCGAGTATAGAATCCAGAGGTTGGCAGTGAATATTTCGCAGACAGTAGGAAAGCGTAGTGCAGGTTCGCAGTGGATATCTCAGCAAAGTAGCAGAGCGTAGTTCTTCCGTCTGTCATGTTCGCCTGAGAAGTTGGCTCTGGTCATTGCGGTAGGAAAACAAAGATGGCCGCCTTTATACACGACGGATACAGTGTTCTGCGGCTTCTGATTGGTCAACCTTCTATTGGTCGACTATAAAGGGAATTAAGTCATTTTGACTCGCTCACTAGTTACATACATATATACACAAAAAACTGTAACACTGTCTTGTATTGGTGTCCCCTAGTTCCCCAATGTTCAATGAGCTATGGTGTCTGGGAAAGTCTATTTTCGTGAGAAGACACTACCAGAAGGATGCAACATGAAGAGGGACAAGACGATTTCCCTTTCTGCTCGGTGGCCGGAAAACTGTAATCGTTTTTGTTTGCGTTTATGAGACATTGGTCTCAGTTCTCTGTAAATTGTGTTAAGCGTTGCATGGGATCTTAACTGATGTTCTGGAATTTTCCAAGTAGATTTTTCTATGTTCCATCTAATTGTCTTATGACATTTACAGATAAGCAAAATTGCATAATGAATCTCCCTGAATGGATGAGCGCATCTGAACAAATCGGATGGAAAAGTGACAGAATTTGCTTAGTACCACAAATACAGGAACATGTGGAGAGCCTCGATCAATCATGCTTGGAGGGGCATACCATATAAATGAGTAGATTTATTAGGATTTCTATTTTCGTCATTACGCAATGTTAGAAAGCACAGAATGGATAGCAGAAGAAATACTACATAAGGTAATCAAGCGAAAACAAAGCACTAAACACCGATTGTAAGAAAGACTGTATAGCTGTCAAGAAAAGGAACAGTACGAGGTGCTTCTTAAAAACTTGTGAATCCAAAATCAAGCAAATACAAACATTAAAATATATCGGACATATTTTATCAAAGAGCGGTAAATGTGACCACCAAGTTTGAAGGCGCAATGTGATGGCGAATTCTGAAAAGAAGTTTTATCGAAAAAGTTAAGCAAAGAAAAATAGAATTTCCAAATAAACAAAGAGAACAGTAGCGAAATAATTGATTGCGACGATATACACATCAGCAAATGAATTGCATTTAATACATTGCATGATACAACTGGCTCTTTAACATTCTATAAACTTCTATTCATCATCAATAATTTAATCGAAACTGCTATATGGCTATTTATGGCATTCTCATATACACTCTAAAATGAGTCTTAATTTTCACTTGGCGGAATAAGTGTAAAACAAGCAAAGCTATTATTAATTTGGTTATCTTAAACAATTTTCTCATGTGTGATCGAGCAAAATGGGAAATAGTTATATCTTAAAAGAATATGCAGTTCATCTTCTTTGTTGTGTGATATATTTTGTCGAAGAATGGACAAATCTTGAAGAAAGGATTAAACATCAATTATAAGAGAAAATATATATTCGCCCGTAAAATGAACAGTCCAAATTCCGAATGAAAATCTGGCGACACTAACTAAATAATTACATGCGTTTTAATGGAAGACTAAAAGGGCAACAATAAAATTCGAGTGAGCATTAAGATAACAAATGTTGATTGCTAAGCAAAATATTAAGAAACATGAAGATTTCGTTAGAAACAAACAAAATAGATATTAATCTTATGTAATATTGGTTCTCGTATATAGCAGTGAAACCTAAAATATATTCCCACAGATGAAGAAGAAATTTGCGGAAAAACATATTTCATTCTAGTGAAGGATGCCGGAAATAACATGGATTGAATATATGAGCAACGATGAAGTTGTTAAGTGAAATAACAAGAAAAATTACTATTCACATATACCTTCCATACTTTTCAGCTAGAGGAATAAGCGTAAAGTAAGATAATATCTTATTGATTTGGTTATTTTTTTAAAATTTTTTGTAAAGTGTGCTGGATCAAAATATGAAATCTGCATACATTAAAGGAATGTAAATTTTGCATTAAAAAGCTTCTTTGTTGTGACATATATTGTTCAAGATTGGAGAAATAGAGAAGAGAAAATTTAAAATTAATTTTAAGTAAACCTAAATGTATTAAAATCAGCAAAACGAAGATCTCACTATACGAATTACAAATTGGACAAAACAAAAATGAATAAAATACAAAAATTTTAATATCTTGGAAGTGTGTTAACTAAAGACGGACAAAGCACCACTGAAATACGAAGGCGGACTGGGATAGTGACAGCCGCCTTCTATAATCTAAGCATCCTATGAAAGTGATTTTCTAACAGTAGCTTAGATGTAGCACAAAGCCTGAAGTATAGGGCGCCCAGTGAGGAGCGAACCTTGTTGTATTTGATCTAGCGAGATAAGTTTTATGGACATTAATCTACGTCGAACTGCTCTAAGCAAAGTAATAAGAAACATGAATACTTCGTTAGAAACAAAGAAAAGAGTACTGAAATTTTATGCAATGCCAGTTTTCCCATAGGGCCGTGAATGCTGGACGATCTAATCTCAGACAAAGAATAAACTAGAGACAACAAAAATGCTGTTCTACTGAAGGATGCTGAGTATGTCACAGGCTGGACATGTGAACAATGACAATGTTTTATGGAAATTGAAAAAAAAAAGGACGATTATACTTAGCATCATAAAGTGATAGTTGGAATTGTTTGGACCAAGAAGGAATAAAGCGAAAGAAACAGGATTTAGCATGAACTGTAATGCATCGAATCTGAAAGAGGCAACTGAAATTTCCAGTAAACATAAGGAAAGATGGCTTAGAAGATTGGGCACACTCAAGATTTATTAAAGGCATGCGATAGAGAGGGAAGCAGTGAATAACCCACTTAACGAGTTTGGGTAACTTTTTATGACAGAAAACAGATTAGGAGAGATAGAAAAAACGAACTTTACTTAATCTGTAAATGACAGGAACTTGTGGTGGGCTATGATTACGAACATCCTGAATGGACAAAGCATATAGAAGAAGAAGAAGAAGAAGAAGAAGAAGAAGAAGAAGAAGAAGAAGAAGAAGAAGAAGAATATACGAGATACAAAATAACCACAGGCGGCACTTTTGTCTGGATTTTAGCCAAGGGGAAATTGAATACTTATGTTGAATGCTGTCATTTCAAAGAAATGAAAATTTCATCTTTCAAATCTTTATAGAATATCAAGTAAAAGCGGATATTGCATTATTTCAAACATTGAATAAAAAAGGACAGCTACATTCGATTTCTTTATTTTGATGCTAAGCGTTTATTCATATACAGATGAAAGTAGCTTTTATATTGTCACTGGAATTAAAATTAACATTTTCTTTGTAGAAACATACACAAACAGACACATGCGCAAATGCACATACGTATTTCCCAGGAGGTCTTTGTTTTTCCCAAGCTGTACGTCTGCTGAGAAAAGCACGTATATGCCCTGTGACCCAACTGTTGTTATCATCACAAACTGTCTCGTCACTAGGCGTGAAGAAAAGATTTACAAATAGTAATTTAACGTGTAACGTCGTCTCAATTGTCACCACGGGAGTTGTGATAAATAACCTACGAAGACACTGCATGATCTACGCGAGTTTTGAAAGATTATCATGGATACAAACACTATATATAGGACTTTATTCAACTCAACAAACACTCATTGACTGGCAGAAATATAAATGATCTAAGATAATGGTTTTAAATATATTATTGCGCCAAAATATAATGACATGTCTGTGTCAATTAAATAATAACACGAGATTTTAATCTTTAATCCATAGCATTTTACATCAACTAAAATTTCGTCGGTGACTCCCAACCAGACAATGGTTCGAACCATATATATATATATATATATTGAACTATAAAAAATAATAAAAAATTAAAAGCTTCAGACACACTGGTTTGTATATCACTATTATTTCGTTTTTTATAATTAATTCATTTAGATTCCTCAACTAGTATCGGCCAACATGGCCATCATCAGGGGAAAAAAATCAGCTTGTTGGTAACAGTGAACTACAGAAATGAATGTCTTGATGGAGAAAATGAACTTTTGTCTGTGATTTTCATTTGTTTTCTTTATTTTTTTAACATGAATTTTGGTGAGTCCTTGTGTTGGTCAAACATTCTCTTTTGAGTTATTATTTAAGATAAGAGTTGGATGGATTCATGCCGCTCTGAATTCCCTGATATATATGTTTCATGATTAAGATATGTTGGTGTAAAGTTAAGTAATTCTATATTCGGTGGCCGTGATTAACGCTAAAGTAAAAGAAACGAAACCTGGCTTCTTTTGACAGAGTTGTTTTATATTTGCGTGCAATATTTATTCAAGTATGAAACGAATATTATCAAAAGTCCTGCTTATTTGACGAATAGGCTTGTGTGTTGTTATTTTATCCTAGATTTCAAAATGTACTCAAATATTTCAGACGCCGTACTCACAAGTTATTTTCTTAGATTTTTCATCAAAGAAAATTTTAACGGATGCAAACAACATCTGTTTACTCACATTATTCATTTCTATTATTTTCTCAAAGTATATAATAATGGTTTATTTACTGAAATATGGCAACAACGATCTACAGAGTAGACTGCAAACTGGTTCTTTCGGAAAAGATATAAATCACCGGCAGCCATTTGCTTGATAATTTCTTGAATTTTGTAATGTCAAATTGTAGCCACGTCGCAAATTCGAAGCGTTAAAATCAGTCATAATGAGGAAGATATATTAAAAATGCAAAATATTACATGAAGGCTTATTTTCTAAACTTGATTGTACAACTGGAGAATATTCTTTGTGTGGATAGTTGGAAACATTTTGAAAAATTTTGCGTTTTCACAGTGACAGAAATAGGCTCATCGAGAGCAGTTGGATAACCTGTGATTAACCTCTGAAAAGTCCTTGTATTTAAAGGATAAATCAGATATAAATTTAATTTTTGAAAGCACACGTCGATCCATGCCTCATATAGTAATCAAGAGATAAAATGCTATTAGATGAAATATTCTTGGTTAGCCCACCAATTCCCAGTGTTCTAATCACAAGTTGAGAATATTGTTGTCGCATAGTGCTACAAGTGGGCAATAATAAGTAATGGAAATAAAACGATATAATTCCTTCGATTTTACTATATGGTAATAATGATACATGATCAACTATATATATATATATATATATATATATATATATATATATATATATATATATATCAGTGTGTGTGTGTGTGTGTAAAATACATAAAATGAAGATCAGAAGCTACCTTATTAGAGAAAATAGCTATTTCATTCTACGGATTTTTTTGTGGAAATTTTATCAGTTCAGAGATGTGAGGAAGTGAGATAAGAGCTTAAAATTAAAATATTTTAATAGTAAAAGAAGAAGATGAGGAAAATAGAAAGGGAGAAAGAAAACTTCAAGTTAAATGAAAGAGAGAGAAGAGAGAGGGAACAGCTGCAGAAAAAGGTCAAGATATTACGTTTATATAGATTTGAAATATTTTAGTAAATCGAGATATCACAGAAATTAAAGAGGAAGAAAAAGAGAGAATATATATAAAAAGAAAATTACCAGCAATATATATTTATAAAATGATTAAAATAACATATATATATATATACATATATATATATATATATATATATATATATATATATATATATATATACAGTTTACCAGTTTGTGACTGGAGTATATAAATCAGGGAGAGTTCAAGGTAGAATACAGAGCATTATAATGATATAAAGAAAGAAGAGATATGAAAAAATATTGTTTTAAGGTTTGCTAGATTTATGGAATAAAGTGCTCACTATCAGAGATAAAGCGTACATATATATATATATATATATATATATATATATATATATATATATATATATATATATATATATATGTGTATGTGTATATATATATTTATATTTACGTGTACTTCTGTATGTATGTACATATTTATGTGTATGTATGCGTATATATATATATATATATATATATATATATATATCGCTGAATGTGTATGTGATTATGTGTATATATACATATAACTGTACATATGTTTGTGTGTATGTATATATATATATATATATATATATATATATATATATATATATATATATATATATATATATATGTATCATGTCGGTTGGTGTATATGTGTCTACTGGTATCTATCATATGTTTGCTTATTTGTGCGTATGTTTAGCTATGTTAACTTTGGTATTTGTCTATATGTGCGGGTGTATGTATATGTATGTATATATATATATATATATATATATATATATATATATATATATATATATATATGTATATATATATATATATTTTATATATATGCATATGTTGTTGTATGTGCGTATGTCTTAATATATATATATATATATATATATATATATATATATATATATATATATCAGTGTCTTGGAATGACCCATCAATACTAACAAAAATCTACATTTGTTTGTTGTGTGTGTGTGTGCGTGTGTGTGTGTGTATTTAATTTTGGTTTGTATGTGTTTTTATATATATGCGGCTCTTTGTACATGTGTATGTGTTTATATATTTATGTTTGGTTTGTATGTGTTTTTATATATATGCGGCTCTTTGTACATGTGTATGTGTTTATATATTTATGTTTGTGGTTACCTATATATATATATATATATATATATATATATTGGTTTATTTACTTTTTATGTAAGCATTGAGGGGGATCAATTAGCAGCAAGCACCGGAGCACATATGCTAGGCCATATCTCCTGAGCCGACCAAGCATAGGAATGAATGCAATATGGCAACCAGTAATAAAGAGTTCCAGAGAAAAGCAATAATAACAAAAAAATTTGCAATATGAGCTCTGGTAAAAACATGATATGATAACAGGAAAATTGCAATATCAGCACTGGGAAAAAGTGTTACTGAAGGCATTAGGTTTATAATACCCAGAAATCCATACACTGGTGTCCTCAAGGCACATGGCACAGTGGATAAAGTTAGTTAGATCCAGTGACGGGACAAAAAGAGTGTGAGTTCAATACCTGGTTAAGGCTGTGGAGAACTTGGAAAGGGGAATTAACAGGAGATAACTGATAACTGACATCCATTAGACATCGCACCTGTAATTAGGATAGTCTACTCCAGTGAGCAAAAATAAAGGGTTTAGTTCGGCCGAAACGTTGTGATAAATATTCCGATGAAGATGAGGACAATAGCCCGAATAATGTAAATAGTGTAAAATAGGTTCAAATGTCTGAAATACCAAAACAACACTTCTTCCAGAATTTCTGTGATGGTTATTTGCATTATGTTCCTCATCTATATTGTTACTTTCATATCATTTTTTCGGTCTTCATTGATAGCTTGTCTAACCAGATAACCTTCCAGTTTTACACACAGTATTACGTACTAATACCCTTGGGAAAGGTATGAATCCAATCTTCTCCTTGCAGCTATGGGTAAATAGCAGGGCACACCAGGTTCTATAGCATTGGATGCAACTGGTCTATTGCAGAAAGAAATGGCAAACTACTGCGGGAAAAATCTCCCTCGTCCGTCATGTATCGAAAGATACATGATCACCTAACCGTGTAACACAAATGGCACATAACTGACTGTGGGAAGTACTAATACCCTTGGGAAAGATATGAATCTTCTTCTTCTCCGCCTTCTATAGGGAACTAGAAGGACAGATCAGTTTCTACAGCCTTAGATTGCAACAGGTCTGCAGCAGGAAGAAATGGCAACCTACTGCGGGAATAAGATTCCTCTCCAGTCATGTATCAAAATTGCATGATCACCTACGCGTGTATCACGCATGGCACATAAATGACTGATTAAAGCCTTGATAATGAGATTATATATATATATATATATATATATATATATAGTGTATCACAAAATTGAGTACACCACTCACATTACTTTAAATATTTATGTATCTCTTCATGGGACAACACTGACAAAATGACACTTTGTCACAATGAAAAATAGCTTGTCTGCAACATATATAACAGAGTTAATTTATTTTTCCTCAAAATATAGCCATTAAAAAAGCTAAATCCCTTTACAACAAAAAAGTGAGTACACCCCTTAGAAAAACTTGTCAATATTAACATACAACATGTCAACTGTCAATATTTTGTGTGGCCACCATCATTATCCAAAACTGCCTTTACTCTCCTGGGCATAGGAGTCTACCAGAGCTTCACAGGTAGTCACTGAAATGCTCTTCCACTCCTCAATGACGACGTCCAAATTGGAGCTGGTGGATATTTGAGACTCTACGCACCTCCACCTTCTGCTTGAGGATGGCCCAAAATGTTCTATTGGTTCAAGTCTGGAGACATGCTTGGCCAGTCCATCACCTTTTGCCCTCAGCCTCTTCAGTAAAGCAGTGGTTGTCTTGGATGTGTGTTTGGACTCATTGTCATGTTGGAACACTCTTCTGCGACCCAGTTTCTGGAGGGAGGGGATTATGCTCTGCTGCTGTATTTCACAGTAGATGGAGTTCATGTTTCCCTCAATGAAATGTAACTCTCCAATACCTGCAGCACTCATGCAGCCCCAGACCATGACATTCCCACC